ACTATTTAAAAGAATAGGAAATTTGAATTAGAGAAGGTATGAGGATAAATATTTTCCTCTTTTTGAGTTATATCCATGTAGTATGTTTTCAATTTTTATTCTAGTATATTATGCACAGTATTCAATTTTAAACCAAAATTTGAGGCTACCCAAAATGTTTGTAATGATGCAAAAGGATGATGCAACTTTTATCAGAGTTTAAATACCTACAAATGTTCCAATAAAGTTCTGCATATGATAATCATAGCTAGAGGTTAAAGCAAAAGGAATAAATATTGAGGATTGAATTGTTTTAATGTAGGACACTGTGAAGAATGCACTAAAATTATGAACAAAATTTAATTTAGAAAGCTGTTACATAATAACAAATATGTATGTTGTTATATATGTATAATGTTGATGCTGCATATCAACTTATAGTATTTTAAGATGATACTGAAAATACTATATTTTGTTAAACTGACAAATTAAAAATTTTAGGCTATTTTGATGATTGTTACATGAGATTTATCCTTAGGTTTATTTAAGCAAACATCTCATAATTGTCTTTTTAATCCTTGCTCTATTAGAAAAATAGAGTAAATTTAAATATTATATCTTAGAGAAACTGATAATTTTGTTGGACCTCATGTTTCCTAATAAAACGGTAATATTTTACAGGCAGGATTTTATATGCCATAGAGGAGAACATACTGAAATAAGAGAACACACAGAAAAGAAAACACATGCTTTTCAAGATGTCTCCATTTTGTAGATTTGAAACCTCTTTTGAAATGTATGCTTTTTTATTTCAAATCAAGAGATTTAATTAAAGAATCACTTGTCAACAGGCATCTGTGCATCTTATCACATGCAAATTTTAGAGACTAATATTGCTGAGCATAATTGGCTTAAGGAAATATAGTTTGGGTTTTGCTAATAAAAATAAAGACTAAAGATATTTCAATATGTCATAGACTATATTTCAAAGTAGGCTTAGAATCTATTTTAAATGACCATACCAATAGAATATTCAGTTGCATCATCACTAACAGTAGGCTTAGGTTTGAATTTGGCCATAGAACTGGGATCTGCATATGAGTGAGCATCTTTCTTTCCATTTTAAATACTTGCTTTGTCAACATTAGGAAATGAACGCTTCTATATCCAACTGTTTATAATGCATAAGTAAGAAATTTTCTTAGCAAATCAGTCAAGGACTCTGAAAAAAAAAATCGTTATTCTTAGCTCTCCGCAGAGGATAAAAAGCAAGCTACATGCAGATGAAGAAGGAAATTTCTTTATCTTTCACTTTGTCTTATTTGCTTATTGTTTAAATGCTTATTGCCTTTTTGTCAGTATCTTAGTTATGGAAGAAATCTCTATTGCTGTTGTTAAATATTCTTTAAAATTTTGTTAAGGGTGAATTGTTAAGTACATCCCACAGGAATTATGACGGTGGATACCTGAACTAAATACCAAAGTTATTTTGGTAACTAATAAACCATATATTTATCTGATACTATGTCATAAAACTAAATATGCAGTCATAACCTTTTGTAATGATTTAATCTTTAGGCAGTAAGCTTGAACCTGAGATAGAACAATTTTTTGAGGTTTCTTTCAGAGGTAAAAGAAACCACAGAGATCACTAGCCAGACGTTTCATTTTCTGTGTGAAGAAACCAACCCAATGCAGCCAAGCTAACCAACAACCTGCCAGTGATTTTGTCTAATCAACTGCAGAGCCCAGACCAGAACTTTCTTTTCTGATTACCAATGGAAAATATCTTCTCATAATACTTTATTTATAGGAATTCTATTAAAAGAACCTGAAATTACAGACTAGTTAAATATACCAGAAATTCCAAAGGACTATGAAAAACATCACACTTTATTCTAAAACTGTCCTAAAATAAATATACTAGCAAAAATATGAATATGATTTAATTACTTGGTTTTATTATTGATTTATTCGTTTACTTTTGTATTCTGAGAAATGTGCTCTACAACTGATTTAGATGGTTCAGGTCATTTTCCTCTAAGCTGGTGGAGAAATTTCGATATGTTGACTTTTATCCACTGAGGTTAACATGAGTTTTCCGTATCATACCTTCATTACTTAGATTACAGTATTTAAAAATCATTATTGGGATATTTAAGTAATTGAAGTTTTAAACAATTTTGGTTGCAAGGATATAGAGCTTCTGCCACTCAGTGTCTTCCACAAACCAACAGTATTAGAATCACTGAGGAATGTATTAGAAATGCAGTCTCAGCTTCCCCTTCCCAAGACCTAGGCCTGCTGAATCAGTCTGTATTAACAAGTGCCAAGGTGATTTCCTATGCACATTAAGAATGAAGAAGCACTTATTTAAAGAGTTAGAAATCTCAGACCCTCATCTTGTTTGTTGTTTCCTTGTCTTTTTCTTGTCTTTCTTTCTTCACTCTCCCTTCATAGAAAATGAACGTCAAAACATCAGGATCTGCTTTAATAGTCAAAAAGAAGACAGTTCAAAACGATGTAGAAAGGATGAGAGGAAATACATGTCTTCATTCTGAGATGGCATAGGGGACTAACAAGCTAATGGCATGTCTTTGGAATGTTTTTTAGCCTCTAGCAGATCCACATTCTTTACTCTCTTCTGAGTTTTCCCCGAGTCATTACTCACATGGGTCCCTGCTCCCAAAACCAAGGTTGTGTAACTGTACTGAGAAGTGGAGTATAGGAGTTAATTATATAGTGTTGAATTTACAGAGGGTGAGCCACAAAGTAGCAAAAGCAAGAACTGCTTGTTCCAGTTAAAGACAGAAAGCAGAAAGGGGTTTATTGTTGGTTATGTAGCCTGGGAACCACTATGAATAACAGGCATTGTAAGGCAGAAGAGAAATTGTTGTAATTAAAAGCAAAGTAAAATACCTAAGGCCAGGCCTCCATATCCAGAGATGACTGTAGTGAGTAATGGATTGAAAGACAAGCTAGTGGAGTGATTAAGAGCTTAGACTCTGAGCTAAAACTTTTCTTGGTTCAAATCCCAGCTCATCTTATTTCTTGGCTTTATGGCTGTGGGTAAGTTATTTAACCTTTCTAACCTCTTCATCTGAAAACAGTAGTACCTCTTCATAGGGTTGTTGTAAAGAAAAAGTGAAAAAAAATCTATGTAAAAAGTACTTAGCACAGTGTCTGGAACATAGTAGGTACTCAGTAAGTCTTAGGTGTTTGTATTTATTTATTTATCTTCTTAATTATTTAATACTTACTTGAATCAGCTTCCCTTTTACCTAATCACATGAGTTTATGTAGTTTTTCTGGGTTTCAGCCGTGGTCTGTGGCCATAACAAAGAGCTACAGCTTTAACTAAAGAAAATTGTCTTGGGCTAAAAGAGTAAACATTTTTTGATCACCTCTGGGATAATGAGTACTATGGAAGACATGATGGTGGTGGTAGTGGGAGGGAGTGTGATGAAAGAAAATGAGAAATATTATACAATCCCTTGAGGCATTGAGATTCTACATTGAAAGAGATGAGGTATACACTTACATGGGAGAAAAACCTGACAGATGATTCCCAAGCAACATATTCATATGTTGAAAATTATACCGTATAAATTAGAATGTTTGGAGTAGTTGAAAGACAACTATCAATATTGGTCCTTAACAATTTGGATTTTCTTTGAATGTCTTCTACAAAGAAGGAAAAAAACTATTAGAACTATTAGGTAGAACAATAGTTTGACACGACTAAAGATTGTCTCAAATCTGCTCAATATTTAACCTCTTTTTTTAAAGCATAGATACTTTTAAATCTTGATTCAAAAGCCAACTAAACACTAGAGGGCAGATTGTGAGGATGTAATGTGTTAATACAATTAAAATAGCTGCCGGCCTCAACACTCATTGTGGTTATGTGAACATAAGTGCAGGCATGAGGGGGAAAGTTCCAAAGCTTGCTAACCTGATAGTGTTTTGTAATTTTATCATTCTACTTTGTGTTGACCACTTCTCAATACTTTTAAAAGAATTCAGGCTTTAGAAAAAATGGGAAAGTCATGAAAGTTTGTAAGTGCTCAACAAAAACATTATAAATTAGATGTTAAGCTGACACATTACAGAGCTTGAGATGCTTTCCATCCTGAGAAACTTAGGGAAAAAATGTGGCTTTGAAAATATGGTTTAGAAATAGTCATATAGAGGACGGGCACGGTGGCTCACGCCTGTAATCCCAGCACTTTGGGAGGCCGAGGCGGGTGGATCATGAGGTCAGGAGATCGAGATCATCCTGGCTAACACGGTGAAACCCCGTCTCTACTAAAAATGCAAAAAATTAGCTGGGCGTGGCGACGGGCGCCTGTAGTCCCAGCTACTCGGGAGGCTGAGGCAGGAGAATGGCGTGAACCGGGAGGCAGAGCTTGCAGTGAGCCGAGATCACGCGACTGCACTCCAGCCTGGGCGACTGAGCAAGACTCCGTCTCAAAAAAAAAAAAAAAGAAAGAAAGAAATAGTCATATAGAAAACAACATTGGTTCCTTGTTCTCTATCCCTGTGGTCCCCACTGCCCTCTGCCTGTTGAGAGCAGAGTTTTAGAAAGATGTTCTGTTTCCTGGCCTAAGAGGAGAAGGAAGGGAATGGATTTGGGCTGGGGAAAGATAGAAATAGGTGAAGTGGGTGGCAGGAAGTCACTTGGCCACAACTGACATTTTAGGAAAATGAAAAGACCTTGAACTAGGGCTGCTGTGGCAATATGTTGACAGCTAAGAGATGGTTCTCCAAATTTACAGAATTGTCTGCCATGGAAATCTTTTAAAAGGAGAAAAAGCCACTGTTATAAGCAAGCCGGGCCATCTCCATTTCTAGAAACAAGTGAAAATGAGCATCTTTCATTGGATGGTTAAACGTTGTTTTGAGGATCACTTGGGAATGAGCTAATTTCTTTCAGCCTGCGATCCACTTCAGATGTTTGGTTCATCATCTCCGATCTTTCATCTAACCTGACTTTCTTTCTCTTTGCTTCTTTTCTGCAGTGCTCATGTACCCCAAGTCAGCAATGTGTCTGCAACCGGAGAGTAAGTTATTTGGGTTGGGTTTTTGGGCTTTGGGTTTTATTTTTAATGCCCTTTCCCACTTATTAAACAGAAAAAAAAAAAAAAAAGCAAGTCTAATGGTGTACAGTATTGGAAGATTCAGATAATAAGCAGCCAGTGACTTTTAGACTATGTGGAGGAGAGGACTACATAGGTTTTCTTATTTGAGCTTCTGTATGTGTATTCCTACAGATGACTCCAACATTAGAAAACATGAGCTTTTTGTTTACTTCATTAAAAATAATGCCAGGATCATTTAATATTGGCAAGTAGTCTAATGTGCTTTGGGAGGCATCTTGCAATGGATAATGTAATTAAAAGTTAAACCATTAATCATGTCTTTACTCCTGCTTAGTTCATTTGACTGAACCTACATTGACTGAGTGCCTGCAAGACACCAGGCACAGGTTAGATGTGTAATATCAAAGATGCCTTGGGCCCTGTCTTCAGGGATGTTACAGTCTAATAGGGATGCAGAAAAGAAAGCGAGTTAGTGATGGCAACAAGTCCCTGGTCCACAGGGCAGTGGCAGTACTCTCTTAATTATGTCATCACATGCCATTTCCTCCAAAGTCTTCCACTGACACTTAGACTAAACCTAAACTCCAGTTATCAGTCCTTGCTAATGCCTCTGACCATATTGCTCATTACACTTCAGCCACATGACCTGCTGTTCCCAGGGAGGGCCAACCTTATTGCTGCCTCAGAGACTTTGTGTTGGCTGTTCCTCAGCCTGACCAGCACTTTCTTATCATTCACTCCTTGTTCAAGTGTCATCTTATCCAGGATTCTATTCCTAACTACCCATATTCACTTGCCACCACTTTACTCAGTGTTTTAGAGAACTTATTACTATTGGAAATTACATTATTTCTTTATTATCTATCTTGCCCTACAGGAATGTAAGCTCTGTAAATACAAGGAGCTTGTCTGTCATATTCATTGCTATCTCCCTACTGCCTAGAAAAGTGCCTGGCATATATTAGGCACTAAGTAAATAGTCATTGAATGACAGAACAGCTCCTGGCCCACATATGTTTCCATCACACGTACCTGTTCTCCTTACTTGCTGGGACATGAGTGGGCCTTTTTGGAGCATCTTCTCTTGGCAAGGATCAGGTGTAGGAGGTGGGGTGGATGTGGTGTGATAGGGAGAAGAGAGAAGAATTAGAAGAAGCACTAGTTGAAATGAATTTGGATCTAACAGGATGGATTTCAATTTTTTTAATTCCTTGTTGGGAGAGAAAACAATCAGAGGGCAGGACTGACCTCCTTTGACTTTGTCAGTTTCAAAGATATTCAAGAACTGCACCAAGACTGACATGTTCTTGCCTTTTTCATTTCCTAATAACCTTTCCTTATGGGTCTTGTATAGCTTGGAAAAGGTGCAGGGTTGTTCTGTTTAGGTATTTCCGTTTCATCTGGATATTTGGTATGTTGTAGGAGGCCACCTCTGACATAATGCATTTTATGGCTTCCTCATGAATATGTTATTTATGTATTATGTACATCTCTTATGTGTATATTAACTTACAATCCTCTGTACTGCAATTAAATAATCTTGAATCATTTGACACATGGAGTTCTATGTATAAAAGTTCTAATGCCCAAGTTAATTGGACTATACTTCCTCATGATCTTAAAATATTTTTAATAAAATTTGAATAATATAACTATGAGTGGATTATAAAACTGCATTTGAAAAATCTGAAATTAGTTAAGTTCTCAAAACACATTTTATTTAAGTAAATGCTATTTCTCAGCCTGAGCATTTAGAATATACATATAGTTCTTTTTCAAGTGAAGAGAAACATGGTTTGAGGAGTCAGAAACTTTCCATACCAGCTTATTTGGAAATAATGTGGTGCTAAAAGAAAGTTTACACACCTTGAAAGATTCTACAGCTTTAAAAATGATTCCATTTATAGCTTGCCATGCACTTTTCAGCTCTTTGTGCTTATCTCTTTTCCTCAGGTTGAACAAAGTAAATCTATCCTTCCAATTTCAATAATATGTTTTGGGGTGTTTGCATGAATACAACTTTAATTATAAATATCATAATTTAATTGAATAGAGGTTAGGAAAGATTATGCCATGCTGTTATAAGTTCTAATTGTTCTGGTGAGTTTTTCCCCCAAATATCATTATTTTCATATAATTTGTCTTAGATTCTAAATAGATAATAGGCATCATAAAATTATTTGCGCCAGTTTGCTTTGCAAATCACTCTCTCTTCCTCTGTAGAACTGGTATGAAATTGCCTTTGTGAGAATAGGTCTACTATTATTCTATAAGGGCAAAAAAAAATCTTTCCTCATTCTACCTTATATTAACTGACCCCGGTTTCCTGAATGCCTCATAATTGTTGCTAGACTTGCCATGAGCATTTCAGCAATACTAGCTTCACGAAGATGAGAAAGTTATTAAATTGGCAGAATTGTTTTCATTTAGTTTTGGTTTTAGCAATAATGCAGATATTTTTTAGATTAATGCCTCATCATTGCTCATGAAGTTCTAAAGACCTGCCATTGGAAATACAGGTGTTCCCAAAACTGTAGGCACATATTTTTTTAAGGTGACCACTGATGAACTTGACTGCTTGAATGACTCTGCATTCTTTTTTGCCAGACTCTTAGAAAGAACCATACGATCAGCTGTAGAACAACATCTTTTTGATGTTAATAACTCTGGAGGTCAAAGTTCAGAGGACTCAGAATCTGGAACACCATCAGCATCTTCTGCCACATCTGCCAGACAGCGCCGCCGCCAGTCCAAGGAGCAGGATGAAGTTCGACATGGGAGAGACAAGTGAGTTGGCATTGATTCTTCTTCTTACTTGAGTTTTCTCTTCTTTGAAAAATATACACCCAAATTAGTCACTGTGTTATAGTCATACCTCCTGGTCCTCTCCCATTTCAGTATTTAGGTTAAAACTTTAAGAGTTTTCAGTTTGCCTATTCTAAACTTAGCTACATTTGGAAATTTATAGGTGATTGCATAAATATTTGCATTTCATCCAGACATTTGGTATGTTGTTAGAAACCACCTCTGATTGAATACACCCTATGGCTTCCTCATAAATATCTTATTTAGAGGGATTCTGAACCATGGGTAGAGAAAGTTACCATATGCTTGTCCGGAGGTATTTTTTTTTCTTGCTAGACAACATTAAGTTGACTATTTAGACTTGTTTATGAAGCAGCTGATTTCTCCATTATATTTATGTGATTAAATAGTCAGATATCACTATAATACTCTAACATTTGATTATGTTTTAGTATAAGAAAAGTTAGGCTTAAATCTACTCAAAAAATGAAAAGCTTAAGTTCTTTATTATAAAAATCACTAATTTTAAGGCATTCCCATAGTATGAATTTTAAGAACAGTGTTACAAAGAGCTTTATTCTCCATGAAAAAAGATTTAATAAAATACAGATGAGCAATTACCATTTATATTATTTAATAATCATGATTTAAATTGTCAAGGAAAATAAATTTATGTAGAGAATAGACTATGCAGATATTCCTATATTTTCCCTGAAAGTTCCAAGGTTATTTTTATTGACTGTATGTAGCCTTTAGCCTCTTTATGGTTGTTGTTTTGAACTCCTTATTAAATGTCAAAAACTAAACTGAACCAGACCCTAGCCCCCCTCATTCTTTTTCTTTCTTTTCTTTTTCAATTTTTAATTTGTATGAATATATAATAGTCATACACCCCTCATTCTCATTCTTTTTCACCTAGACTCATAATCTACATTAAACCCTTTATGGAAAAAGCAAAAAAGCTTTGTTTTGTTTAAAGAAAAACACAAAAGATAAACAGTATAAATAAGTTTCATGCTGTACCTCACCGAGATGTTTAAGTGCTATATTAGCAAATGTAACTTTAGAAATAGAGCAGTATCAATAATATAACCCACTGATTTACAGGTAGCATATGCAGTACTTTTCAAATAAATTCTCATGGAGCTGGTGGATAGAATAGTTGTAATATTCCATTTAGAAAATAGAAAAATTATAATACAGGAGATATTTACATTTCTTCTACTCCTGTGGCATGACATGAGATATTTACATTTAAAATTAGCTACTGACATGTTTATAGAAAATGTTTAGAAATATAATTAGTTTGTGTACTACCTCTAATATGTTGTAGAGAAAGCACAAATTATTCATTTAACACTGTTCTTATCCGCTGCCTCATTTTTTGCTGAGGAGTATGTAGCAACATTTTGCATTTTAAAAATATCCTCAGTGTGTCACGATATCCTGCTTTCCACCCTCTTTGTTTGGACAGAGGGCCAGCAGGTGGAGGTGGGAAGTGGTGGGGAGCATGAGAGAGAACAGAGTGTGATGGTGCTGTTGGTGGATGCTTGGCAGCAGGTCTCGGGGAGGACAGTGGAGGTAAAAACAGATGAGGGCCAGACAGGGCAGGGAAATGTGAAGCACAGCCTCACCTCTCCTGAAGAATTTAAATAGAGAACTTCCCAAGCCCAGGGACATTTCTAGCATAAGTTATCTTGATTGTTTTTTACCAGCAACATCAGGAGAACAAAAGGAGATGGGGAATGGTAGCTGAGTGATGGTCTGAAGACTATACCCATGAAACCCTAGCCTTTCCCTTAGTTGTTCTTCTCTTGCTATTGCCTTCACCACTCCTCCTGGTCAAATTACAGTTGGGCATTGAGGAAGAGAATCTTGGGGTGCAAATAGTACCCAACCTGACACACTGTGACACAATCGTGTCTTGATAGTCCTTCAACTCTCAGTCCACACTGAACGGTTTCTCTTAGCTCTCCAGGTCTTTGGAAGAGTGAGACCCTTATCTCTCAAAGCCCCCAGATCCCTTAATTTTGTCTGGTCCAGCTTCGACCATAGGTCAGTAGTCATTTCCTGCAGCCCTTCTCCCCTCATCTTCATGCTGGGTTCTGTCATCCTTTCATTCAACTTCCTTGATCCAGCGTTCTCATTCCACTTATTTCTTCCCACCTCCACTCTTTTCCTTTTGCACATCTGCTTGCTTGAAATACTTTTCCAGCAGGCTGATTCTTTCAGCATCTCCTCTTTGGTGTCAGATTTCTCTTTTAACCTTCCTTTCAATGAGCCACTGCCATAAACGTCTTCTCCAGTATCTCCAGGAGAGTCATGAACATGTCATAAACTATAAGAAGGTCAAGAATCATTAATATAGCCTACAGTCAATGAGTTTATCATAGTATATGCTTCTATACAATTGATTCATTTAAGATTTTTCACAAGTCTTTATTCAAAAAATAAGGAAAGATTAAGCTAGGCTGTAATATTCTATTAAAAACTATAAGCTTTTTGAAGTGGTTAAAAAGTGTTTAGAAACATAGGAATCTATTTATATTATTATCTATTATTTTGCCTCTAGTAACTTAGAGATGCAACAAATTAAAAAGTATTCTTGAAGAAGCCAGTGATGACTATATTTCAAGATGAGTAAAAGAGTCAGTAAAGTCATACTAAAGTCATCATGGCCAATTTTTGAAATAGCAGTACCGAAGATAGACGAAGACTACAAATAACTTCATTCATAGGTACAAATGATTTGTTATTTGTCTGAATTCATAAGGAAATATAATCAGACCTATATTACTGTTTGCTACAATATAAACATAAAAGTTTAAACATAAAATCTTCATTATATAAAAATATTCAGCTAAATTCATTTAGTAAAAAATTTATCTGCCAAGTTTACGGAAATGTGAAATTTTGGTGATAGGTATATGGAAGTTTGTTGTGATAGTGTCTCTACTTCTGTATATGTTTGAAAAAAATCATAATAAATATTTTTTTAAAGCAAAGCATCATTTAAGTGAAAATGGTTTTCAATCTTCCAAAAACACAATGAACTGGAAAATTGATCCAAATGTTTCTTTGTTATATAAAGACTATATTAAAATCCTGCAAAGTAAAAGAAAGCAGGCTATATTTGGGGAATAATAAATAGTTCAGCATTGCCAGGACGTTAAGTAGGTATGTAGGGGTGAGGAGAAAATCCTGAAAAAATGTGGAAATAAATCTAGATAATGAAAGTGAGAGGTCCAGAGATCTAAGTTCAGTCAAATCCAAGTTATGTCAGATATGATTGAAATCTGACAGAATATTGCAGGAAGGAATTGAGTACACCTGCTCCATCTAAGATTAGATTTAAAGAAATACAACCATGTGTTTTATACAGAGCTGTATCTAAATAAAGTGCCTCCAAAGTCTTTAACAGTGATAACTGAGGACCCAGTACTATAAGGTGATTCAATGATGAAAAACTGGTATTGCACCCAGCCTCTTGGATCTATAGTGTAACTGAAATTAGAGTTCAACAAAGGGAAGTAGAAGAGACACATGGATGCCCGTAAAAGCAAAGACTTTCCTCGAGGGAGAACAGGATTTGCGCATGAACACCATAGCATGGTCAGATTTTCATATATTTATTTTGACAGGATTTATTCTAGTCGTTCATTCACTATTCAAAAAGATCATAAAATGAATTTTACTGTCTTGTTTTTTTAAATAGTTTCTAGCTGTTGTCTTTAGTCTGCTTGGGCTGCCATAACAAAATACCACCGACTGGGTGTCTTAAACAACAGAAATTTATCTTCTGATGGTTCTAGAAGCTGTAAGTTCAAGGTCAAGGTGCTAGAAGTGTCTGTTTCTGTTGAGGCCTCTCACATTGGCATGCAGATGGCCACCTTCTCACTGTATCTGCTCGTGCCCCTTCCTCTGTGTGCACACTCCTGATGTCTCTCCCTCTTCTTACAAGGACATTAGTCCTATTGGATTAGGGTCCCACCCTTATGACTCTTTTAACCTTATTTACCTCCTTAAAGGCCCTGTCTCCAAATATGGTCACATTGGGGATTAGGACTTCCAAATGTGAATTCTGAGGGTACATAAGTCAGTCCATACTAGCTTTCAAGCATTAAAGGTCCTCCATTTAAAAGTTGTAATTGGGGCCGGGCGCAGTGGCTCACGCCTGTAATCGCAGCACTCTGGGAAGCCAAGGCGGGCACACTTGAGGCCAGGAGTTTGAGAACAGCCTGGCCAATATGATGAAACCCCATCTCTACTAAAAATACAAAAATTAGCCAGCATGGTGGCACATGCCTGTAGTCCCAGCTACTCAGGAGGCTGAGGCAGGAGAATCGCTTAAACCTGGGAGGTCGAGGTTGCAGTGAGCTGAGATCGCACCACTGCACTCCAGCCTGGATGAGGGAGCAAGACTCTGTCTGAAAAAAAATAAAAATGAAAAAAAAAGTTATAATTGGACATATATGCCAAAAGCTAGGTTAATGGGTACAAAAACATAGTTTGCAAAAGACCTAGTATTTGGTAGGACAACACGATGATTAGAGTCAAAAATAAATTAATTGTACATTAAAAATATCTAAAAGAGTGTAACTGAGCCGGGCACGGTGGCTCAAGCCTGTAATCCCAGCACTTTGGGAGGCTGAGACGGGCGGATCACAAGGTCAGGAGATCGAGACCATCCTGGCTAACACGGTGAAACCCCGTCTCTACTAAAAAATACAAAAAACTAGCCGGGCGAGGTGGCGGGCGCCTGTGGTCCCAGCTACTCCGGAGGCTGAGGCAGGAGAATGGCGTAAACCCGGGAGGCGGAGCTTGCAGTGAGCTGAGATCCGGCCACTGCACTCCAGCCTGGGCAACAGAGCCAGACTCAGTCTCAAAAAAAAATAAAAATAAAAATAAAAATAAAAAAATTAAAAAAATTAAAAAATAAAAAAATTTTAAAAAAAGAGTGTAACTGGATTGTTTGTAACACAAAGAATAAATGCCTGATGGAATCGATACCCCATTTACCTTGATGTAATTATTATGCATTGCATGCCTGTATCAAAATATCTCATGTACCCCAGAAGTATATACACCTACTGTGCACACACAAAAATTAAACATAAATAAAAAACAAACAGAAAAAAAGGCTAGGAAAAAGTATGAAGAGTGATAAGAAGATAGAATTTAAATAGTAAAATAAATAATTTTTGAGTTTTAGAATTAGATCAAATTCATCCAGCCACCCACAGAAGGCACTGCTCTGAGTGCGTGGAGGGGAGAGATTGAAGAGCATGTGCATGAGTATACATGCTTGCATTTAGTCCTTATCAGCTGCTCCTCCTGTCTTCAATTACTTTGTACTTAGAAAGTCTCTTATAAATGTGCATAAATCTTTTATATAATTTTACTAAATATATATTTTCACATTAAAGTTGGAGAAAAAATACTAAAATATAGAGTGTTAAAAATTACCAAAGAGAGTATAACTTTAAAAAGATTATGATAGTATTTAATTCATAATTTTGCCTCTGTTATACCCTGTCTAAAGATATGAATTTAGATTTCAGAATAAATATTTAATGTTATCTTTCATTTTGGGATATGGTTGAGCCAATAGTAAAATATGATATGTATTTTTTACTCTTTAGAATTCATTTATTTCACAATACAGTTTTAGGTGTTTAGGGAGGTAAATTAACTCATTCATACCACGAAGCAGGAGAGTAAAGTCTCATTTATTTGTTCCTTACCAAGCCATGGTGCTGTGCTGATGGTTTTATTTGTTCCATGATATTGTTTCTTTTTTTTTTTTTAACTCAGTTTGCTAATTTACTTTTGTGAAAACCTATTATGGGAATGCTTAAGATATTAATACTTAAAACTGTTTCATGAACATCAAATGAATTAAATTCTATAATTACAACATTCATATCTACTTCTACAACTATGTCATGAAAGATGTCTGTACTTGGAAGTAACAAATCCAGATTTCAGTTAAAATGCTTTGTATTCCATAGTTTTTATTAACTTATATGATTTCTACTAAGATTATCTATTAATAATTCAGTGAGATTGAAATACACATTGCTATACTACTAAAATGGAAGATATAATTCCTTTTTAGATTTTGCTCCATACACAGTATTAATTTATAAATTTGAAATATATATATATATTTAAATGTCTACTGTGAATAATAGGAAATTTCTATATAAACTTGCACTGTTCTCCCTGTTTGAATACAAATTACTTTTGGTAAAATACAAAAGCTGTCCATTGGTAGAAACAGCTCTTGCCAATTTGCCTCTAGGAATTATTTCTCTTTCAATGTGATTTATTTGGCACCAAGCAGTCCCAGGAGTAGCACTCTGCTCAGATTTTGATCAGAGATGCAAACTGGAATTTCTGGGCACTCTTTGGATTTCCTAGGTATGATATGATGTAGTTAGAGTATCATTAAATGACCATTTGATCTTTTAAAATAAAATTAAGCTTTTTTCTCAATTCAAGGGGACTTATCAACAAAGAAAATATTCCTTCTGGGTTCAACCACCTTGATGATTGTATTTTGAATACTCAGGAAGTCGAAAAAGTACACGAAAATACTTCTGGTTGTGTTGGAGAAAGGAGCAAACCTAAACGTCAGAAATCCAGTACTAAACTTTCTGAGCTCCATGACAATCAAGATGGTCTTGTGGTAAGTGAATATGTCTATAAAATTTTACTTGTTAGGAAATACTACATCTCTTTGCTTTGCTTTGTAAAAAAATTAAAAGTAATTTCAGTCTTCAGTTTTATAACATTATAGAATATGAGTTCTGGAAGAGACCTTAGAGCTACTAAGTATATATATATTTGTATTTCTTTTTAATAAATACAAAAATTAAGGCTGAGAAATATTACATTCTACAGAGGAACAAGAGACACCACACAAACTCTGATTTCCATTTTTTTTTTCTCATTTTTTTCAAGCATTTCTAAATTTTGTTTTTGAAATAAAATTGCCCATAAAGCATTTTTTCTTCTTTTTCCCCATTCTATTTGTTCTTGTCTAAATGAATATGTTTTATAAATTAATGAATGAACTTAAAGCAAGGTGAAATGCACAGTGAAAGAAGATCAGCTATCTTCGTGTTCAGATATCTCTTCATGTTCAGAAATTTCATTTCAAATCTATACTCTTTTAAAGTACTTTCTTCCAAGTTAATCAGAAACAAAAAGAAACTAATCCCTACGTAGTTGCCTCAGACCTGAATCTTGGATCATTAATTCAATACATAGTATACGTTTTTACAAGTGGTTTAATCAATGGCTAAATATGTGTTCAGTGTAACTATTAACATTCATCATCCTTCTTCCTTTATGCGTTAGTTTCTCTGAAAAATAAGCAACAAAGTCTGTCCCTTTAGTTAAAAAAAATGACAAAGCCAAAAACCTGGAGATAAATGTTATAATGTGACAGGAACTGGAATCCCTAATGAAAACAGACAATATCCTCTCCTACTGTTTGGTGTGCACATCCTCTGAAGTACTTTGTCTCTGACCAGTTTTTAGCTCCATGCTGTGCTTTTCATACATTCAATAAAATTCACGGGCCACCTATTTTCTCATTGTCAATTTCTGCATGTGCTCGGAGAAGATTTCTAATTTTTCCATAAGTAAAATATACATAAATGCAAATCTAGGATTTTTTCCCCCATAATGTCTCAATGCATGGTTTCTGGAAGTAAACTGATGAGCTAGAATGGACAGAAGTAATCATCTACCTCAGACTTATGTCTGGTACAGTTCTCAAAATAAAGAATTTAAAGTTTGGAATCATGACACACTTTTTTAACCCTGATAATTTCATTTCTGTTGTTAAAAGTAAATATTTAAATAAAATACATGGTATTAACGTCATTAGCTCTCTATTTGGCCCATGATTTGCTTATCTGCCAAAGAGATATCTGGTGACTGGAAGTCTGAGACTTGGCTTTATAGTGTGAAAAGAAGCTATGAAGCAGGCTTCTCAGTTTGAATCCCTTTTTACGTTCATTTAACCCATTAATTTTTTCTACCAGGAATAGTGTCATAAGTTAGTTAGATGGTAATAGTTAATAGAAGTGGAAAAGTACATATACTCCTTAGAATATATGTTTACTGATAAAACTATGGACATGGTCTGTGCTGAAAAACATTGGGATGGAAGATCCTAATTCCATTTGGGGTTTTTTATGTGAAAGAACTTGCCCCTACCTCAGTTGCCAGTTTCCGCATTCCAGGATTGTGCCTGTCACATGTGAGCTCAGTGGACCGTGTCTTTGTTGCAATGAATAACTTAAAACCCTGCCAGTACAACTTAGAAGAAAAACTTCCTCATCTCTAAAGTGAGGGTGTTCTCAAAGATGTTTTCCAATTCTTATATTCCATGAATTTAAACATCTAATCTTCTCAAGTAACCACAAAGCAAAGAGCCAGGGAATACAACAGACTAGTGTTAAGACTACATCCTGAAAGTTAAGTTGTGTATCTTCACTTCCCCCTTATTTTTAACCTTCTAATTCTACTTTCCCCAACTTTCCTCCAAAACCTTTCCCTAGCCCGTTTTAAGTTCTTTACATTCTGACCAAACATTTGTTTCTATTGCTTAAAAAAATTATACATAATTATATGTCTTCTATGTGGCAGGAAATAGTTTAGATCCTGTGGATACAGTAATGAGAAAAACAGGTAACACTTCCTGCCTTCCTGGAGCTTACATTCTAGTCAGGGAAACAGACAATGACCAAGATAAATAAGTAAAGAATAAAGTATATTAGGTAGTGATAACAACTAGAAAGAAAAAATATCTAGGGAATGGGGACAGGAACTGTGAGGGGGCAAGGGATGCAGTTTTAAATGGAATAACCAGAGGAGACCTCTCCAAGAATTTGACACTTGAGTATAAAGAACTAGAGGAAGCAAGGAAGCAAGCCTTACTGATGGAATGACAGGTGCAAGGGCTTTGAGACAATTGTTTTCTGGAATATTCAAGGAACCACAGAGATACCATTACGGTTGGAAAAGAGTGAGCAAAATGAAAGAGGTAATGGAAAGGCAGGGCACATTAAATAGGTAGGTCCTTATAGATCATTGTAAGGACCCCTCCTTTATTCTGGGTGAGATGAGAAGCCATTGAGTTCTCAGTAGAACAGTGACCTGGCTTACTTAAATTTGTTAATGTTTTGTTGAAAATAGACAGTAAGCAGGCAAGGAGAGAAGCAGAGAGACCAGTTAGGAGTCATTACAGTCATCTGGGTTTGAGATGATGATAGTTTGAACTGAGGTGATACAAGAGCCAGCTATATGGACTCACGGGCTATACCCTGCACTGGTCTAGGGAGCACTGTTCCCATCAACTAAAACATGAATTGTTCCCCCTGGGAGTTGTACACTGCAGTGGTCATGAGGTGGGGTAAGAAAATGAATGTATTTTGAAGATAGAATTGACAAAATCACCTGACAGATTCAATGTGGGGTATGAAAGCAAAAGAGGAGTCAAAGATGATTCCAAGATTTTTGGCCTGAGCAGCTGGGAGACTGGTGTTGCCAATTTACTGAGATGAGGTAGATAGAAGTTTTGGGAGTCATATCCTAAGTTCAGTTTCTGACATGGAAAGACTGAGCTGCCCATTAGACATCTAAGAGGAGAGATACTAGAGAGGCAACTGGGCTTCTGGGCCTAGAGTTTCGGGAGAATGTCCTCCTTAGAGATACAAATGTGGGAGTCATGAGCATTATAAATGACATTTAAAGCCAATACACTGGCTGAGATAACCAAGGGAGTGAATTTGAATAGAAAAGGCCTTCTCACAAGGCCTTGAGGCAGAGAATGGGGAGATGAGAAGCCAGCAGAAGAAACTTAAGAAGCAGCAGCCAGAAAACTAGAAGAAAAATGAGGTAAGTTTGGTATCTTAGAAGCCAAGTAAGCAAGGGTCTCAAAGAGGAAGGAGAATCAGATGATAGGTCAAGTAGAAGACTGCGAGTTTGACCATTGAAATTAGCAAAATGTAGCTCCCTGGTGATCTTAGTAAGAACAGTGTTGGTAGGAAGATGGCAGCAAGAGCCATTTTCAGGAGAAGATGGTAGGAGAGTAACTGAAGACAGTGAGTGAATGGCTTCACAGTGATCTTGCTGGCCCACAGCACAGCCAAAGAGGAGAATATGGTGTAGACCTGGAAAAGCATCTTAAAGATGTGGTGTCTTTACAGTGAGAACTATCTGGCTCCTTTCTCCCTCTGTCCTTTTGCCTCTTGAGGATATCATGATCAGCAGAGACTGAGAAACTACAGATAATTCAGAGCTCAGCAATCGGGGCAGTGAGGTATCAGTCTGGGCATCAGACTGCACTGCCTTACCTCAAATTATTGCCACAATTTCAACCTTTCCCTTTCCTTAAACCCCAAGCTCATACCTGTGCCCTTCCTTCTCTCCCAGAAGAAAACCTTATCTCCTCTTTTACTTTGAAGAGCTGAAATAACCAGCTTCTGTTTCAACTTCCCTCACTTCACTTCCAGATTTCTCTAGCTCTCTGCCTATTTTATTTTCTTTCCTGCTCAAATGACAAAGTAAGTTTCCTAAATTCTAAGACTAACCTCTAAGGTGAAAAATATCTTTGAAAATTCTATTTTTTACATCCATCTCCCAGCCTACCTCACACAGGCATAAAAAAATATTTACACATATACACTTCCTCTCTATTGGCTCATCTCCATTGGCTTAGGAAAAAAAAAAGTCTATCTCCAAACTTCCGCTCTAGGGCAGAGTTTAATACTTTGACTCAAAAATCACAACACATTCATGCATTTTATCCAATAACCCTCCTTCTGCTACTCTGTTCTAGGTGCATAATCCTTTTTTGTTTGTTTGTTTGTTTGTTTGTTTGAGATGGAGTTTCACTCTTATTGCCCACTGGAGTGCAATGACGCGATCTCAGCTCGCTGCAACCTCCCCCTCCTGGGTTCAAGTGATTCTCCTGCCTCAACCTCCCGAGTAGCTGGGTTTGCAGGTGCACACTACTACGCCCAGCTAATATTTGTATTTTAGTAGAGATGGGGTTTCACCATGTTGGCCAGGCTGGTCCCAAACTCCTGACCTCAATTGATCTGCCCGCCTCGGCTTCCCAAAGTGCTGGGATTACAGGCATGAGCCACCACACCCAGCCACTAGGTGTATAATCTTAAATATTGAAAAAACCATATGTATTAATTTGCTCACTGCAAGGCTATTTATAATCATGGAGTATTAGAAGCAATTTAAATGTTCAAAAGTAGAAGAGCAGACGAGTAACATTTATATGTCAACTCAATAAAATATTCTGCAATGATTCAAAATTATAGTTATGAAGATTATATAATAAAATAGAAAATATTTGACAAGTTATATTTTAAGTGCTTTGCATACATTCTCAATTTTAATCCTCCCAATAATCCATAGGTAGATATTGTTATTCCCATTCTAATCATGAGGAAAATTAGGCACAGGAGATTAAACAACTAGGTCACACATAAGTGGTGGAGCTGGGATATCACTGTACTGCCCTTCAATATAAAAATAGGTTATGAAGCATTACCTACAGTGCATGCACATATATGTATGACATATTCATTCCTAGGAAAAAAGGCTAAAAGGATATATAGCTAAAAGTGATTGTATGATTGCATTATGGTGGTGGCA